ATGGAGAAACTGGAATGACGCACTGAATTGCACCAAAAGTGTGAATTGTGAGTCTAAAAGAAATAAACATAGAAAAAAAAACTTTCTTATTCGTTGTGAAGACACTGAAAATAGAATGCATAATTTCGTTGAGACGCAAGTTGCAAATCGCCCAAAGTTTGCCACGTCTCTATCGATAATTTTAGGTCTCCACGAGCCCCTTAAATTCGCCAATTTCGCGAAAAGTATCCACCAGTGGCGACCTTGACCCGAAGTCCCTGTATGGCGAGTGTGATGTCGTCTCGCTCGTCGGGCTGACCACCCGTGTGGTCCGACGGCACTTGCAAGCCAGGCGATTCCAATGGCATGTGCCTGGACAGCTGGCGCTTTTTTGAGCGTCGGAAGCCTATCAGCTGGAGATGCATTGCGTGGTAGTACGAAGTTCATCTTCTGTCTTCTACGGTAACTCGGGGGTCATGGCCTTACCTGAGTCGCAGAGACGCCATGCGTCGTGTTTCCGCACCGGCACCAGTCACAATGGTGTTGTTTTGAGCAACTGCACGCACGCACGTCATGGTGTATCAGAAACAATTGGACGGCATCACGCTCCTCCTTATCACCGCAAAGTGGGGCGACTGTCTTCTAAACGTGCCGGCGCCCAGCGGCAAGGGGTGGCTCGCTGATCGCAAGAATATAATGCACACCTACAAACACACGCATGATCATACATGCTTTATGTGTTGTTTACAATTCCTCCTCTCCCTGCCGGCAAGCCTGGTGGCGCATGAGCTTGCGGTCAGTGCAGAGAGGAATACTTCATCTCCCTCTTCTCTTGCCTTTTCTTCCACATTCCTCTTTGTTGAGGTGACCTGCAGTGAGAGGTACAGTTACTACACCGCATTCAATTGATTTCCTTTTTTTACAAAACCACTCCGCGAGTCTCCCCTCCCCGGAACTCGAAAAACTGAAAAACGTTGTGGCTGCGTCGCTGATGGGAATGCCTGCTTAGTTGATTGTAGATCATTTTGTATTGAAACAAACATGCCAATTGTTGTCAATCATTGCAAGCAAAATGAAAATTTCATTATTTTTACATTGTACCGCAGTTGTGCCTGTGAAGATTGCAGAAATTAAACCGGTATACCGGTTTAATTAAAGTGACTGAGCTCTTCAGTGCAAACATCATTCGAGCAAAGGAATCAACGCCCACTGACAACAATGTTGGCGAGTATGGGCGTCAAAATGATTAGCAAGTTCCATGATATGTGTTGGCTTTTAAGACAAGCAATATTGCACTCTACCGTTAACGCATCTCATCCCTGAAGCAACGCAACTCACTATACGCATTGTGCATGAATTCACAATCGAAAGCGTTGGAGAAGATTTCTATACACGGAACCGGGCGCGGCCTACGTCGAGTGGCTTTGGCGATAGATTGATGTCGCAAAGCGAAGGAAAACAAGTACAGGTGCTTGCAATAAAATTTGGAGTGTCTGCGCGGTGACCGGTCGTTACCGGAGTCCGCCATGAAAGACGCAGTGCCAGGATCAGTGCATGCGCGACATTTCTAGCAGCTCGCCCGGTTCACTTCGCTGCCCAGATAATCTAGATAGGTTCTTGCTACAAAAGAATACAAGAAAGCTATTAGAGCGTAATGGCTCAGCGGGCCAAGTGAATGAGCAGAGACGACAACTGCGCATGGGCGTCAAGCTGGCACAGCTGCAATTTTCACGGAGTGAGTCGCTCGCCCGCTCATTTCGTCTCATCAGCGGAGCGTGCGCGGCGGACGAGCGCGCGAGCGTTTTTCAAACAGGGCCTCTTGTTTGAAAAACGCTGAAACACTGAAAAACGGACCACTGTGGTCTAATGTACAGTAGCAGGATGTACAGTAGCAGGACTCAAAATGTACAGTGGCAGGACTCAAACTTGACAAATTTGAACTTGCTTATGAACGTGGTGAGATGTTTCAAGAACGATGCAGGGAATGCGTATCCACCTTCGAGATCAGGTGGTCGGCCGTGTTAAACCTAATTCGTACCAATCATCGAGGTGTGTCCGGTGTAGGAGCCGTGCTAAACCTAATTCAAGTGCTAATGTATCTAGAGTCAGTGGTGGATCCAGAGGAGGGTTGTAAGGGCGATTGTCCCTCCCCTCAAAGGCTGCCGGCACCTCCTCCCCCTTTCTTTAGTGCTTTCCGTCCACCCGCTGTCCAAAATTAGGGCAAAAGAGTGGGACAATTTCGCCCCTACATTGAGGTATTTATGCTATGGCAGAGTTTTTGTACTTGTAGAAAATATATGGACCACACCTCCCTATCAGGTGTTACACCAAGTGACCGCCCCTCTCCCCAAAATGAGCAGCTGGATCCATCCTTGATCAGAGTTGATGCATGGCCTTCGAGATGTGCGTCCGGAAGTGGATCCATGGGTGTGCCATTCGTTGCGGTGAAACGCATTCGGTCTTTCTCAGTATACTACGGAAAGACGGGCTAGTTGGTTTTGCTGTCTACTGAAGCTTTATCGCGCGCACACGAAGACACAGACGAAAGGGACTGTGCCCCGCCACGGTGGTCTAGTGGCTGAGGTACTCGGCTGCTGACCCGCAGGGCGCGGGTTCGAATCCCGGCTGCGGCGGCTGCATTTCCGATGGAGGTGGACATGTTTGCCCGTGTGCTCAGATTTTGGTGCACGTTAAAGAATCTCAGGTGGTCGAAATTTCCGGAGCCCTCCACTACAGCGTCTCTCATAATCATATGGTGGTTTTGGGACACTAAACCCCACCCATCAATCAAATCAAGGAAAGGGACTGCACTGGTCCCTGTGTTACTTTTGTCTATGTACTCGTTTGTGTGCGCTAAAGATTCAGTATCCAGTCTTTCTTCTTTGTGTCGTGCGTTATGAAAGCTTCGTGATGTCAAAATAACGTTGCAAAAGAAAGACCGGGAACAGATAGCGCATTGTTGTCAGAGAGCAAATAAGTGAAGGCGGAAGTGGACACCTTGAGATTGGCGCTCTAGTTGGCTGCCTTTGAGAGCGGGGTGACGCATAAGCTGTACCGCCCCCCCCCCCCCCCAAAAAAAAAAAAAACGCCCGTGTGCGCGTACCCACGCGGAGGGTAATAGACGAGTGCGCTTGCGCATTATTCGGCAAATCGAAATGCATATATTGGTTCATTAGACGGGGAATGAGACCGTCCGGTCACCCGTTGACGAATACGGTAGCAGAAATCCAAAAGCAAGAGTCCCAAGATTAGTTTAAAACAACTCGAGCATGCAAGAAAGCAAAAACACGTACATTAAATGAAGTCTTTGTGAAGACACGCTAAATTGTTTTATTATTGAAATGAACGCGATGACATAAAAGAATAAAATATTTTTCGAACAGTAATACAAATTGATCAATGTAAAGGCTCTGGAACAACACTGTTGACACCAAATTAAGACGAAAGGCTCGATCGGTTTTATGAATTGATAACATTAATTAAATACTCGTATCTAAGAGTTAATTTAGCATCACAAAGATTACCCGCTCGTTTTAAGTTTCCACTGCATAGTGAGCGAGTGCACCCCCCCTCTCCCTCCCGTTCCCTCTAAGAACGTGTCGCAACAATAAAGATGCAAACAGCATGGTTGTTGACGCACAATAACATCTATCTTAATACACAACGGAGAGACTTACAAACAGTCATCTCAAAACAAGCCCCCCCCCCCCCCTGAAGAAGCGCAGCACTTTTCCAAGTAAGCCCAAAATGAGTGGAAGTTAGAAAAATATGTTCCTATGCTCGAAAATTGCATTGAAGTACGCAAAACAAGGCTACGAATGCATCTGCAAGGTTCACAAACCTTCATTTTGCATAATAAAATTAGGTACATGAATGAAGCAAGATTTTTTCTAGTCTTACACAGTCATCGTTACTGACATCTGGCAGATGAGGATAATTCATGACATCTACGGCCGTAGAACCGTGCGTGCTCTTTGCGGGGAATAGTTCCATATTTTGTGCGGTAAGTTGAAAGGCTCGGTAGCAAACTTCACGGAACTTAAGGCCATAGCATACGTGGAGGATGGCGCTCAGCGTTGCAGTTGTCATCGTACTTCGGAGGCGCGATTTCGCGAGGTTCATGCGTTAAAAACACGTTCGACATCGGCGTTGCCCAGGGACTTGGCCAACAACGACAGCATGACGACAAAGCGAATACTCTTTTTCCGCATCTTATGAACACTGCACGAGTAAATAAGCACCGTACAATCATTTATATAAACTGAAAACCTTTACCGTAGGTGGTGTATTGATTGATATGTGGGGCTTAGCATCCGAAAACCAGCATACGATTATGACAGAGGCCGTAGTTGAGGGCTCCGGAAATTTCCACCACCTGGTGTTCTTTAACGTGCGCCCAAATTTGACCACATGGGCACCGTAGGCGGTGTCATTTCGCATCACAAGATAACCATATCTCATAAAGACATGTGCGTCAGTCACCCTTCAGTTTCGCCGAATGTCAATGAAATTAAATTGTTAAGCAAGATGCGAGATTACACCACCTACAGTAAAGGAGTCATCAGGTGACGTTAATGATTGTACGATGCCAAGTTGCTCATGTGTAGTGTTCATGAGCGCTGACCGGTGTATACGGAAGCGTAGTTTGACTATGGATTTTAAAACAAAGCGCGCTGGGCGATGCAAAATTATTAGGCGAAAAGTCAGAGGTAAGACCAAAAAACTGGACAAGGGAGCATAAAATTTGGGAAGCGTCGGAGAAAAAAAAAACACAAGTATAAATCTGGTCACAATAAACGGAACTGTCAACCCTGCAGCCACTCGAAATCATTCTGGGCACCTACCTATACGAGGGGCCCTGCAGTGGAGGCAGTGCAACGAAAAGCTGTCGCATGCAGCCGCGACTGCATGGCAAAAAAAAAAAAAAAACTGCCGTTTGACAGCACATACATACAGGCCATGTTAAACTCATGCATAACGAAGGCCAGCCCAAGTAATGCTTGAAACGACACAATACAGGAGCACTGCGGATAAAAACTTTATTCATTAGAGGCAGGCTCGCATTATATTTCAAAAGAAGAGATGTCCCTTACTGTGTTAGATGAAGAACGAGATACCCTTATAAAAACAATGATAAGATAAGAGCTACTCAGAAGTCCTGGCTAGCTGCTACAGGAGCTCCCGACTTCTTTGTCTTGGCGCTGCTAGATTTGGGGAGCAGTTCCGGACGAATTAGGGGAAGTACTCCCCCCTGGGAGATTGTCACGTCAGCTAGCAGTTTGCTGAGTTCTTCATCGTTTCGGATGGCCAGCTGCAGGTGACGTGGCGTGATCCGCAATTTTCTGTTGTCCCGCGCCGCATTCCCCGCTAGTTCCAGAATCTCGGCGGAGAGGTATTCGAGAACACCCGCCAAGTACACAGGAGCGGCGGCGCTCACGCGCTCGGAGTAGTTTCCAGTTCTGAGCATGCGGTGGATGCGGCCCACCGGGAACGTGACGCCAGCTCGGGAAGAGCGGCTCTGCTGCTTGCTACGTCTATGCGCCTTGCCACCCGAGTTGCGATTAGGAGGCATGGTAGTGACGAATGGATGGGCCCGGCTGGCGAAGATCTGCAGGGCAATATACAGAGGGCGTTGCCCGTCGTCAACTGAAGAACGAACAGCTAGGAACACCACAACGCAGAATGAAAGAAGGCCGTAGGAAAATACTCTCACCCTCGTTAACCGAGTTAAGGATCAGTCACGAGGTCTCCATCTGTAACACTAAGTTGCACAATGGCTCTTGGGATGGGGAGGCGGCTGAACAACACTGTACATAGCAAATTCTGTCAATCTTACACCGCCGAGAATGGCAGACGCCTCGGCAATGCGTGAAGCGTATCGTACCAGTAACAAAAATGGTCTGTCATGGACAGTGAATTATTCCTAACGCTAAAAGGTAAACGATTCGCATCTAGCGCACGCTCTAAGGTAAACGTTGAATTGGCAGCATTATTGGGTGCGATATTCATTATAAGGGATACCGAATGTTACAAGGCAGACCGGACATGACCTGCAGGCTACGGGCGCTGCAACAACGCACTGCATATACATCTGCTAACCTAAGTTGCATTTCCGTGAACCGGCTTACCTTTAGGAATACTTTCAGATCAGAAGAGCCGGGAAGCCTCGGCGTGTGTGCAGCCTTGTCGATGGCAGTTAAATGTGGTGGTCAACGCTGGTGGGTGCTGTTTTATAGGAATGATTCAGGTCACGTGCTTTATTTGGACACACTGTCTCCAAGTGTCGTTTCCTGCGTGGAACACATAACCAGTGATCAGATAGTAATCGACGCCGAATCACTGAAGTAACTTTTTTTTCTGGAGTGCTTCAACAAAGTACCCAAGTAAGCTCATCTCTGTACTCGGAAACTAAGTGTTCTCGGTTATCGCCATGCAGAATGAATCAAAACATTGAGAACTTTTGCATTTTTTTCTTGATTATCGCACCATAGAGCCGATCTGCGTCGTGGAGTAGAGCGCATCGACAAGACGCGCTGGAGTACGTGCACGCGGCCAAATCAGAGGCATGTGAAAATGCTCTCGGTAATAGGTTGTAAAGCTAAGAACATTGGCACCCCGTTCTTCATGCTGCGTTATTCATTTTTGCCCGTATTGCAAACGCCACCAACTAAAACAAAACCACGTGCTGCGTGTGAGTGTCAGGGCTTTTTCGATGCTCACAGAGGCATAGAGTAGCATAAAAGGAAATGTACAGTAGTCACTCCGGCCAAAAGCGGGGGTGCTACGCAGCTTCACGCCAGCCGTAAGCTACATGGCAACACATCACTCACTGCTTTCAAGGAAACACACGTACTAGTTATCCACTACAGTATTTTTTCTAGTGCATTGCATATCTACGTGTCTTTACAACAGCGATTGCCGCTTTCTTATGCGTCTTAATCGCCTCGCGTACACATGACCCGGTAGGATCTTGTATGAATCGGATGCGAGAGAAGCGCACATAGCGTCGAAGCGAAGGTAACGCTATCACGCTCCATGTTCGTGAGCATGTAAGGCAATGAAAAAGTATGGATAGCAGCAGGGAGACGCGATAAGAGTTGAGCAATAACGTGCCCGGCGTGCGTCGTGGTCTTCTCTTGCACGTCTGCCTCTCAGCTTTTGCTGCTGCTAGTTATGAACGCCAATAATAGGGAGTTTTAAAACAACGTTTGCAGGTGTTGCGATCGTTGCTTTAGTTGCAGGCGCCATATGAGTTTCGGAATAGTGTTTGCTCCCCCTAGGGAAAAGTCTAGGGACTTTGACCCCACGCAAGCCCAAATGCACGCAAGCTACAGACATCACTTCGCGGGGGGAGGGGGGGGGGCGTTTTTTTTTGCAGGTCAAACCGTTTCGCCCACGTGACCATTCCGGTGACGTCACCAAAACATCACGGCTGCCACGGCGCTCTCCAGCCCCCCCCCCCCCCCCTTTCCTGTCCGTTTCGAGTCGAGACAAGCCGGGGCGCGGTTAAAAAAAACTCATCATGGCGGAAGAGGTGGCATGAAGTGTCTGAAACTTGGGTCGATGGCTGCTAAATTGGTTAACGTGGTTGTAGGAGGGGGTGTTAAATGAGTGAACACGTACACACGTATGCGAAAGGGCGGCGCTGGTCGAAGGGACGTCGATCATTGTGTTTGTGGATTCGTTGGAATTCATTTCACCGCGACCTTGGACGTCGACGCGCCGTACAAACCAACCGACGAGCGGCAACTGAGCGAGCGAGCGCCGACCTTGAGTATATATACAGCACGACGACGCATGCACTGTCAGCTGTTGAATGTTCTCGAAGCGCGACGCCACATGCGCGTCCACTGGAGAATCAGGAGAATTGTAGATGTCGAACGCGGTGTGTAGAGGAGGAAGGGTGCACAGATGGTGGAGGAGTGAAGCGCGCGTGGTGTGTAGAGGAGGAAGGGATGCACAGATGGTGGAAGAGTGGGCGACGGCGCGACGGCGCATGCGCGCGCGTCAGCTGTCGAATGTTCGAGAAGCGGTGCGGACGGCGCACTACAAGGCGCGAGTATAAGATGCTCCGCATCTAAAAGCCTTGGATGTTAAGATTCCTTCCTCCGTGGAACATACGAAAGTCGGCAAAAAGCACGTTCCGGGTCAGATCCGTCGTCATAGAGGATTTCGCGTGCTGAGAGGTGTTTGCAATTCGGTTCGCGGCGGTCTTCCGAGTACACAAACATGAGGAGGTCACTTCGGTGGCAAAGTAGTTTGCGTTTCTTGTTTTGTGAACTTTCATCGCTATGAAACAGCCGTCCAGTGCCGTAATGCCCCGTGTTGAGACTTCTTATTCGCAACGTTTAGCGTTAGCAAACGACTACATTCGCTGCTTCCAATTAGTACGGACAAGCACATACTATTAGATGCTGCTTATAAGTAAACATCTGCGACAGATGGCTAAGTGAACTTTCACACTAATAACATAAACTCTCCAGCGAAGTTATAGTCGAAAGAGAAAACTTAAAGACTGTAAACTGACCCGACGTTTTGGGACCGATCCGGTCCCTTTTTCAGGGGTGACTGCGCGGCCGGCTCCGAAGCTAGCGATTTTTCTGGGTGGTGTCGCCCTCTTCATCTTTCTTCTTTCCACTGTAGTTGTTGCTGCGGTATTTTTTCAACCAGTTTTGTAGACCGCGGACGTATACACTGGGTATACATACACATGGAACTGTCTCGTTCTGTCTTCGCGATCGAAACAAAGCGCGCGCCCGTAATGTGAAATTGGAAAATGACCAAAGAGATAACAACGAAAACAAGCATCCACACGGTGATCAAGGCACACACAGGACAGTTTGCTGATAAAGGTGAGAGTTCAACCAGACAGCGCACAATGCATTTGCACTTTCTTTCCAGGCCAAACTAATCGAACACCCGCGAACGTTTTGCAGCATCGACGCAAAAGCATGTCGTGACAGGCAAGCAAACGAGTGGCATACCATTTTTGCACCATTTCACCACAAAACAACCCAACATGTATTTTGCTTACATAAGCAGCATGTAATTGTACGCGCTTCTCCGTACAAATCGGAAGCAGCGGATGCAGTTATTTGCTCACGGCAAAAATTGACAATAGGTCTCAACACGGGGCATTACGGCGCTGGCCGGCTATCTCACAGCAGTGAGACTTCACAAAACAGGAAGCAAAAACCGCTTTGCCACCGAAGTGAGCTCCACATGTTTGTGTGCACGCAAGACCGACGCGAAAAGAATCGCAAACAACTATCAGCACGTGAAAATGTCGATGGCGACGGATCTGACACGGAACGTTTGTTCCACTTCTCGGGAGGCAGGCATGTTCATATCCAAGACTTCCTTAGACACTTCTTGCCATCTGTTTATACGTGATAAAATAGCCGTTATCACAGTTTTTCATAGTTTTTTTTTACCTGGCCCCGGCTTGTCACGACTTCAAGCGAATTGCGAATGAAAAGCGCCGCGGCAGCTGTGAAGTTTTGGTGACGTCAGCGAATTTGTCACGTGGGCGAAACGATTCAAACTGCAAAAAAACTGTCCCCTTGGTGGTTCGAGTTACGACGCATGCGCAGTGGCAGCGACCGCACCGCAAGAGCTTGAGTTGCGCTATTCAAAAACTACCTACTACTTTGTGAATTGCGTATTGCATTCTTCATTGAAGCCTCAAAGTAACATTTCTCGCATTAAGCTGTTCGGCGCAGAGAGCTTCTGTGTGCTCTTCACTTCGCGTATTAATTTCGTACATTGCTTCACAGGAGAGAACATAAACTGTTTGGAATGCTGCGCACCACGTTTGCGCGAAAATCGTGTTTTGGCTCAACAAAGGGAGTCACCACTGGTGTTTATTAGGTTTTCTTTGTGCCGGTGCATGTTGTCGAATTCACTGTATGAGTGATATATTTGTAAAAAATGCAGTTATGCTTAGTATCGTTACCTGTGGCGTTCGCAAATTGTCTAATGCTCTAACGAGCACAATAATAGAGAACTGGTGAATCTAGAAAAATGTTTGTTAGCTAAAGCCAGCACGTAATCTTTGAGTAGACACTCTTGCCTCGTTACCAGCTTGCTTGGCACCTGAAATCGCTTTGTTTTTGCTGAGACAATGGCTTGTTACTGTTTTTCGAAAATGGGCGTTGTGAAGTGCGTATGAGAAAATTCGTGCGAAGGCGGGAAACAAAACGCACCCATCATTTTTTTTTCTTTGCTGGGTTTATGCTGGAGTCAAGTGCTGCGGCAACTACTGCCCTGCTGCGTTGTGCACAGTACGTGTAGTTGTGTGCATTTATTGCAGTTTTACTATACTGTGTCTTCTTATAATGTTGCATATATATTTATTTCTTGTGTGCAATTTCTGCTCATTATATAGCAGCTGCATTTCCGCGTCTTCCAGTGCACTGCGCCTATCTCCTAGTGTCTGCGTTCATCAAACATCAATAAAGTGGCATGTGCTTACCAAGAATATCCTTTGAAAATAAAAGATTTCGCTCCTACAATGTTGCTCATGTTTTATATAAAATATGCGCATAGACACGGAGTGGAATCGTGTGCTTGCCGTTCTGGTGGTGCAGCTTATACACGAAGCTAGTCGACGCACGATTCGCAGTTTTGAAAATGTCCTTTGAACGCTGAGAATGCTCTTTGAAAATTGGAGTTTATTCAATAAATTCGAACTGACAACATCGTGGTTTTGGCTCGTGAAACCCCAGATATTATTATTGTCAATTTTCATTGACAGCTATTACAGCTGGAAGTGAGTGAACCGTCAAGCTCGCACTTGACAGTACTCATCAAAATAGATCCAATGTGTGATAGGCAGTATTGTACACGTTTCTCTACGACAGGGACTAGAGCGCGTTCATCGATCCTTCCCGATTCTGGAACAAGTTCCCGTTACAAGTTCCTCTACGGCGAAAGGAACTCGTTCCACTTACATTTCGAAAATTGTAACGAGTTGTTACTCAACCGTTACATAAGAACTTTCTTATAAAATAACAGCATCGGTTAATCCTGTAGCGAAATAAAGTAAGCTAATCAAAGCTCACTTCCAGCTATACATATGTTATACGAATTTCACATAGCCAACATCAGGTTATACGCCGCTAAAATGCATCAAAATAAACGCTCCCAGTCAAATTTTTCAGAGACCACTGGCCGTAAAACAAGCATGTCTAACTGTAGCTTGCGTGTTCGTCAATTTCAAGTCGGCCTACACATGTAGCACGGTTCAAGTCGGTCTTCAGAGGT